GCTATTTGGTTTCTGAGGTCTGTCATTTCTTTTTTTCCTTCCAATTGTCATCCGCGTAGGATGACCTGGGGTCAGCGACTTAGCTCTGAGAGCACAACTTTCCTTGTCCATAGAGTGGGACTGAGAATAATGGCCCGAGCTTGAGGCTTGCTTGGGGACTGTCTGAGTTAGCTGGTGCTGCTGTGAGAGAAACAGAGCAGGGGGAATGGCTTGATTTAACAAATAGACATTGACTGTGTCTCATTTTAGGGGGCCAGCTCTAGGGCAAGGGGGAAGATCCTTGTCTCCTTCTAACATCTGCGAGGAGCATTCATGGGCCAAGTGGGTCTCAGTGCAGGGATCCTAGGTCCAAAGGACATGCTCCACGCCTACTCTTCATTCTCAGGCAGGTAGATCCCTTCCCACTCTTGGAAGAGGAAAGGTAATGCAGGCCACACCTTCGGGAAACTGGCCAGATCGGGCCGTGACCTGAGGAAGGGTGTTAGAACCACCTTCCTTCTGCTTCCAGGAGCCCTGATGGCTGGTGTAGTGGTTAATGTATTGGGCCACTAATGGCAAATTCAGCACTTTGAAAACACCAGCCTTGGGAGAAAGAAGGGGCTTTCTACCCTCATAATGCATTACCATCTGGGGGATCCCCACGGACCACTCCCCGCTGTCCCATCGACTCACTATCTATGGAGTAGATGGCAGCGAGTTCGCTGGTTTGTTTTTGAGATCTGCGTATTAACATCCAAACAACCTCATCCCTATTGACATAAAGAAATCCTGCACGGTCAGCCTCACCCGCTCCCCCCATGCTCCCACCACCACAGAGAGAAACATAAACAAATCCGCTGTCCATGGGGTGCATCCTGACTCAGGGGACCCTGTACAGGATGGAGCAGGGCTGCTCCACAGGCTTTCTGAGGCTGGAAGCCTTCACAGAATCAGCCTGCCACATCGTCCTCTCAAGGAGCAGCTGGCGGGTTTCAATCAGCATCTCAGCGTTTAACTCACCACCAAGCTCCCCAGGAACACATCCCAAAATGCACGGCCCGTGAGGCTGTTCCTACTCACAGCGACCCTAAAGGACAGAGTAGAATTGCCCTGGTGGGTCTGAGACTGCAACTCTTTATGGGAAGAAAACCTCGTCTTTCTCCCATGGAGCAGCTGTGGTTTCGAACTGCTGACCTTACCATTAGGAGCCCAACGTGTAACTACCTCACCCGCCAGGAATCGATGAACACAGAGAGGTCAGGATTTACAACTCACCACACATGGAGGATAATTACATCACTTCACATCTTGTGGGGGAGGGCCACATAGTACATAATTGCCCTAAACACTGAAAACCATGGGCCAGCCTGGTTGGCATATAATTTAGGGGAACATAGTACAATCCATAACAGATCTGGATGTTGGTCATCACTAGATAGCAGATCCCAGTGGCCCATCCCACACCTTTTCCTCCCTCCTCAGGCCCAGGTAACCAATGCCTGCCTGGTGTTTTCTTCATAGATCATCTGTCTCTCCTCTTCCCAAACTCATCTGTCACCACTCTTGGGATGAATCCTCTCTTTCATCAAGAGAATGTTAGCAAGGGAGACTAGGAACAAGGAAAAGGTTACTAGCTCCATTCTTTAAGAAATCATGGTTTCCTGATTCATTTAAAGTGGTTTGGCAAATTCATGCCACAATCTTGCCATCTTCAATCAAGTCTCTCTCTCTCTTTTTTTCCTTTGAGTTTGCATTCATCCATTCATTTGTAAAGGGACATGTGTAGGCGGAACACAGATGTAGCTTTATTCAAGAAAATAACCCCAGCCTCCTCAACTATGGAACTTCAGACAATAAATCGAGACTACAAGTTTTCTTCTCAAATAGAGTGAATTAAAGTCAGGGCATGTTGACTGCGTAGAGAATGGGTACCTGACATGGTGTTCCAACTTTAGCCGGGCAGGTGTTACACCCAGTTTTTACTTCTGAACACCAGCTGATTGAGGAATTCAAGATTTCTCTTCCTTTTCAACATTTATTATTAGAATTAATTGCTCAGTACCGGTATGTTTAATCACCTCATGCACATGTGAAAGTTGGGCATTGAATACGGAAGAGTGAAGAAGACTCGATGCCTCTGAATGATGGGGCTGGTGCAGAAGACTGAAAGCACCAGGGGCGTCAGAGGGACAGACAAGTCCGTCTTGGAAGTAAGGCCAGAGGGCTCCTTAGAGGCAAGGATGATGAGACTCCACCTCATGTACTTTGGACACGTCATCAGGAGAGACCAGTCCCTGGAGAAGGACATCATGCCTGGGAAAGCAGAGAGACAGGAAAAAGGGGAAGGGCCTCCACAGGATGGATTGACACAGAGGTCGCAACAATGCGCTCAGACATAGGAACCATTGGGGGGTCAGGGGTGGGGGGGGCAGGCTGGGGCAGGGTCTTGTTCTACTGTAGATGAGGTCACTGGGGTCGGAACCGACTTGACGGCACCTAACAACAGTGGTTTCGAAGCTAATTGTGCTTTACGTGTCACAGTGCTTCCCCTGTAAAAATGAGAGCTGCTTCATGTTTACAGCAGACGGCCAGAAGCCCCTGAGATGTCTACACGTCCCATGAAGACAAACAAACAAACAAACCCCACACTTGGACAGTGCTACTGAAACTGGAAATGCAGATACACAGGCAGCTCATCCCGATGCTAATTGGTCATCTGCATTTGGACATCAGTTTAATGTGCATCTCCCATCACTGGCTGTCTGTGGACCTGGATAAGAATGTGGGCCCCAACGCCCAGCTCACAGCTTTGATTCCTTGCTCCTGGGTGGGGTGGCATCTGAGAGGAGAAGAGACCCCCGGAGAAGCCAGAATTCGGAGCTTCCTGTGCAGATCCATGGCTGTTCTGGGCCTTGCATGGAGTTTCTCGTTCAAGGATTGTCTCTGCCCACACTCTCTTCTGGCTTTGGCATCATGTATGGTTATCCAAGAATAACTAGGAGAGAATAGCTTCAAAGACAGCCTGGTGACAGCCCTTTTTCTGCTTGATGCTAGTCATCCTTGTGCCAATCATGTCTGCTCTCTTCTGGACTGTCCAGTCTCTCTCTGTCTCTGTAACTTTTCCATGCTTACCGCGTCTGGTCCTGCAACGGTAAAGAGCTCCAGGCTTTCCAATGTCTCAACACACAGCCTACCTTAACCTTTCTGTCCCTCTCATCAGCTCCCTAAAAAAGTTAAGATCACACTTACTCTACTCCTGTCTCCCATTTACTATTTTTCCCCACAGTTCACAATTCACACACCATATACTTTATCCATTAAGTAAAGAATTCAGTAATGTAGCAGTGTTGCGTATCACTCTACAATCAATTTAAAACATTTCATCACCTAAAAAATAACCTTTGCACCCATCGGCTGCCAGATCCCATTCCCTCCACTTCCTCAAAACAAAACAAAAAACAAAATCAAATAGATTCTGAATCATAGTGACCCTATCAGGCAGGATAGAACTGCCCTCTCTTGGAGTAACTGGTGGTTTAGAACTCACTGACCTTGCAGTTAGCAGCCCAATCCATAACCACTATGCCACTGGGGCCCCTGCCTCAGCCCAAGCAACCACAAATCTCTCTTCTGTCTTTATAGGTGTGTCTAATCTAAAGAATAAATACATCTGTCTTGGACGAAGTACAGTCTGAATGATCTTTAGAAGTGAGGATAGCAAGACTTTGTCCCACGTACTTTGGATCTGTCATCGGGCGGACTGTAGATAAAGACAGCATGCTTGATCGGCAAAAGGAAGACCCTTGATGAGACACATTGACACAGTGGGTTCAAATTTAACAACCACTGGGAGGATGCGCAAGACTGGGCAGTGTTTCCTTCTGTTGTCTCTGAGGTCCCTAGGAGTCAGAGCTGACTCATCAGCACCTAACAAGGTGTGCCTACGAAGGGCCTTTGTGTTTGGCGTCTTCCAGAGCACTGTGTTATCAAGGTTCATCCATATTGCGGCATGTCTCGCCATTTCATTTCTCTTTACGGCCAAATCATAATATGCTCTAGGAGTATAGCGCGTCACTTATTTGGTGGATGTTGAGGTTGCTTCCACGTTTAGCTATTGTGAACAGTACTAGTTTTGCTTGGGTATCTATCTAGTAGGAGGGAGACTTGGCGGCACAATGGTTAAGTGCCCTTCCTTCCACTCCTCCCGCCACACAGGCATCTTAGATGTGCTGCACTCTTACGGCTCTTCGTTCTTGGCGGTCATCAGAGTCTCTGCTCCTGCTTCTGAAATGACTCACTTTCTACCTAGCAGAATGGAAACACTGGGTTAGGGTCCTCTACGCTGTATTTGCATCGTCCCAGATCTGTCTTGGCCAGAGTGCTCCTTAGAAGCAAGGATGGACGATGTCTTGCATACTTTGGACATGTTTTCAGGAGAGACCAGTCTGTGGAGAGGGACCTCATGCTTGGTAAAGTGGAGGGGCAGTGAGGAAGAAGAGGACCCTCAAGGAGATGGGACTCAGGCATAGGAACCATTGTGAGATTGGTACAGGACCGTGCAGTGTTTTGTTCGATTGTGCATAAGGTTGTTATGGGTTGGATCTGACTGTTATGGCACCTAATCACCACCACCACCACAACAACAACAATGTCATTTTGCGGGATCTCTAAAGACTACTGATGGAAGAGTCCCAGCAAGCCCTTTCAATTCACCACAGGGACTCTTCAGTTCTCTGTCCCACTTTATCAGGATTTAAAAAAAAATAGGAATTCGAGTTCTGCGCCATTGATATGAGATGAAGAGATTCACAATTACTCAAAAGCAAAGATGAGAAGATGAGAGTATAGGGAGACTAGAGCCATAGAAATGGAATAATGGGGCCCCCAAAAGAATGCTGATAGCTGGTGATAAATTGAACTATTTCCTCGGAAATTGTCAAATGGGAACTCAACTTACCGGAACAACGTGTTCAACCCAAACTCAATACAGTATTATTACAAAGAAAACACACCCCCGATGATGGATTCACAAGCTATTTTGAGGCTTTTATTGACCATTCGCGTACACACGTGGATACAGCTGTCAGGGATTTCCTTACACATCACAGAGAAAGAGAAAGAGTCTTCTGCCACGACTTCACTTCCGGCCTTTGATTTTTGATTCACTATTGAAGCGCAAAGAACATCACTTTCGATTTGATGCGGGGCCATTCATAGTGGTTGTTTTGTCTGCAACTCATTTTAAGAATTCTATTCTGGAAAAGCAACAACAACAACCAAACACAGAAGAAAAGAAGCACCACCCAGCCAGGAGAAGAGACCGCGCTGGCACAGCACACCGGCCCGCACTCAAAGCTTCCACGGTGGCCGGTGTACTGCAAACCCCACCCTCCACCCGTTTGCAGGAGACACTTGCGAAGACATCGTTTTCAAACAAAGCCCTTGACCATATGAATGAAACCCTGTGTACTCCCGGCACGATTCTGACAGAATCCTCTGCATTTTGGGTTCCGGTTTCAGGTCACTATGCAATCACTTCTCCCTCACAGACCCCGTATCCCTGAGATTCACAGTGTGGCCAGATGAATTACCCGGGCTCTACTCCATGCTGCAAAATGAGCATTTCAAACCAAATTGTTGTTTTGTAAGAGCTTCAGAAAAACAAATTTCTCTTCAGGATCGAACAGTTCAGCAGCTGGAAAGCACACGCACCATCTCGCTTCCTTCCCTGTCATTTAAACACCCCACACTCAGTCTAGAGGTTTCTCCCACGGTCCACGGTGGGTCTATGCATCACGGGTGTTTCATCAGTGGGACGTTATGGAGATCGGATTCTTAGGGATCAGTAAGTGTGTCTGATGATGGCACGGGGCCTCTGGGAACAGGCACGTTCTGCAAAGGTGTTAAGGTCGTCTCTCAAGCTCTGCAGATGCTTTTGAGGGTTCCCGACAATCGATCTTAATGCGAACCACTGACAATTGGCATCCCCTCCACCTCTCACACCAAAACAAATGGTTTCCTGCTAATGAATGATTTCTTCCCCAAGTTGACGGTGCGTCAAATGTAGGAAATGAAGCCCAAGAAATCCCGTGCCCGTAAGCCTAGCGGTGGCCTTTTGCGTGTGCCGCTGAGGCCCCCAAGCACCTCTTCACGCTCTTGTCGTGGGTTCTGCTGTTTTTGATGGACACGCGATCGAGGGGCTGCCGGGCGCGGCTTGGGTCATTGTGTTTCTGGACAGAAGTTGAAATGTGTGTGTGCGTGTGTTTGGATCAAGAAAAGGTGGCAGAGAGACTTGGTGAATTCAGAGAACACAGAAAACCCGAGTTGCTGGCGGTGCGGCCTCAAAGAGCTACACGTCGAACCAGTGGTCACCCATGCACGTGCGGTTCCATTCCAAACTGCAGTTCCAGCACCACTCGAACTTGCACTGAGGCTGGGGACACTTCATGTGCATGCATCCACCTGTGGGGCCAGCAGAGGACATGATGTCATTAGAGGGCGTGCGCGCATGCATGCATGCATGCATACACACACACACACACACACACACATGTGCGCGCATGCCAGCACATGCCCATCTGCAAGACCTTTCCTCTGGGTGGTGCAAACAGTCAAGCACTTGATGGCTCATGGAAAGGTTGGAGTCTGGCCCCACCCAGAGGTGCCTCAGAAGAAAGAGATGTCATTCTGCTTCCGGAAGTCCCCGCCTTGGAAAGCAAGTCATCGGACACAAATGAAACACACCGAGAACGCTAATACCTAGTGCTCAATGGAAAAGTGTCAATGAACCACTACGAGGTGGTTCCACTCGGAACACCTGGGCCACGCGGACCGGAACGGACTGGATGACAGCTGGTTTGGTTTGGATGTCTAGACATGAATGGTTCAGTGAGAGACCGCTAGCCATGCCAGGGCAAAGAGAATCTAGAAGCCGTTGGAAAAGCACACCAGGAAGTTCTCACTTTGTGTGGAATGGGACTCACAAACGAATGGTTCATGTGTTACAGGCAAAGAGTTACCTCCTCATGTGTTCATCTGAATAATTTAAATGTGTACCTAATTTCCCACTTATGATTGATTTAGGGTTATTGTTTTAAGGTTATTATTAATCTTTAGGGTGTTTGGATTAAGTAAAATTGGTGAGAGGGGACTTGGGGATAGTCTCTTACTTCACTTCTTCATCCCTTCACCTGAATCACATAAAAATAGTTTTCTTTCCTGGGACGAGTTTTTGTTTTTTTCTTGTTTTTTTTTTTTTTTTAACATTTTGTTAGGGGCTCATACAACTGTTATC